GTCTTTCTTAGCTTTTTTTTAATACATGCACCAATAACAATGTAACCAAGCCAGGACAAACTTTACGCTATTGCTTTGTCAAAAAGATCATTAGCATTTCAGTCAAATGACAAACAAAAGCAAATATCAGCAAAATAGCATATCATTTTATTCAACATTTTCAACAGTGGTGTTTTATTTGTAGCAATAAATAGTTTGTCAACATTTTCTTTAAAACTTCAATGCAGTTTCAATTCTCCAATTGTGCTAGTGTGTTTTGTCATTGTTCTTTGTTATTCTTAAGGGAAATTGTATGCAGCATACAAATAAAAATATAAAGTAAGTAAACTGATAATTTACTGACAGGAAATATTTATTAAACTAATGACTGAAGACTGTGTAGGTGTCTCTTCATTGCCAAAAATTACTTTAAAAAGGGATTGTATCTTCACGATTCTTTTGMATTCCTTCCTATATATAATGGTATTGGGAAAACTAATTTGGAATATTTTAGAAAGTGTTATGGCTTGTCATATATCACTGAAAAGAAAGATAAGGCTTCCCTTTTTTATTATGAGCAATTTAGCAAGGTATATTTGACATCCGTGACTGTTATACAGCTATACTTATACTATGCTGTTAAAATCAAATCAAATGCACTTTTTTACCGTATAATTATTGCAGAAAAAGTCAAAAGGGAAAATTATTTGCGTGCGTTTGTATTCTATGCATATATTGCATTTAACAATGTTGAAGTGTTGGCGAAATCGTCTCCGTCCCAACTTACACAGCAACGACACCCTTAACACAATAGCCTGAATAGAAGAATAAACCAACTAATGTAGATTATTGTTCRAGATGAAGGATTAGGTGTAACTGCTTGCTAATGCCTTTATCTAATCAACTRAAGCAGTTTGGAATTTTCAATCAAAAACATTTTCCTGTGTCATTGCTTTCAAAACTGAAGTTTTTAAATCTCATTCTTTGCATATGTTCTTTGTCAGTGCATAAGCGCGGATGGGTAGAAAATGCTGGCGGTAACTAAGYTTTCAATTTTGGCAGTCCATCAAACCTCGGTCTCACACAAATAAACGGTTTCATCATATATATTTCATATTTGATGTAATAATATATTTAATCAATGATTCATAACATGTTCAGCAAATGTCAATGTTTGTTGCTTGGTAATTGCTTGGTTCAATCAAAGTTATTTCAATCAGTCTCCAGCTAGTAAAAGGGACGCCATCATTGTTMCAACACCTGACATTCGTCATTTCTTATCAAGCCAGCAGCCGGTGGCTCTATTGGTATGAGCTCCGTGCGCCCAAACTGTTATCATAATTAAATGTTTTCTGATACAAAAGACAGAGGAACGGCTTCTTTGAAGAAAAAAGGSCATCGCACTGTTGGGGTTAAACCAAAACGTTCAAAACCTGACCTATCGCTGTAGATACGAAAAGGCGGCATGAGAATGTTTCAGAATTTCAAATAGAATGTTGTGAAATAGCATTAAATAAGCGTAGATACTTTACATGTGTATCAACTGTAAACGACTTGTCAAACCACCTGACACCAATTGTTCACAAACCTCGCGTAGTCCCAGTGGAACAATTTAGATTACAGAAMATCGAATTAACGGATTATCAATTAACTAGKGGATGGAAGATATTTCGGAAGGCGACGAATTGATAAATAGCYGGGGGATTAACAAGTGTGCAAAACCCTCACAAATTTATTTGCTTGCWAGCTGCGGTCTTTTTCTTTTACAAGATTTGTCAGCTCAAGTGATTTTTGCCTATTATTTTGAAGTGCACTCTTAGAATCACTGAACCACAACATTGCGATACGGTGGAGAATGAATACTTACTTAACCTGAAGAAATTTGAATTACAATATCATAAAACTCGTAAAAAATGMAATCAAAGTTGTCATAATGATTGTTTGGGAAAGCTTGAAAAGGAATGCTTATGGATATTAACCGTCCCAGTATGCAGCTGTGCACCGGTGTGTGTAGCAGGTGRGCCTATCCGTTCTAGAAYACTATTGTAYCATTTGCACTCAACATTTTACAACTCTAACTAAATCACCTAAATTAGCGATAGATTGTAGCACTACTATGACGAAAAAGATGATCAAGATTAGTGATTAAAAATGAAAGGAAAAATCTGGAAATATATAGTAGTTCCGCAGAAAATGAGAAATTRAYACATATTGCGAAATTAACCGTTGTCGTATGTTTTAATGACCGCAAAGTCGTTAGTGGTTGTCGTAARGGTTATGATCGATACACACAGGCTTGGTATGAATTTAKTCTTCTCGCACATGATTAACCGATAATGGAGCATTTTCAAAATCATTAAAATGCGATTGCTAATGGTAGGRTTTAATTTTTAACGTCGACGGATAYATCAATATTTGATAGGAATCCATGATTAAAATAAAACGTACTTTCTTCGTTATTGTTTTCAAATGAAGGCTAAATTTAGTATYATTATTTTATTATCCAGTTCGCCTAGTAAGAGTAATAGGGGTTTTTGGTTTGATATTAGTCATGACTGAAGTCAAATTGAATGTACGTGTTTGTCAGCCATTATAATGAGCTGTTTTGTTATGTTTACAAGTTTAGTCATTCATCTCCAATAAAAGGTAAATCAACATTTTGCTCTGATTTGCTTTGCTAGTAGTGTGTTTGGATACCRASGCTGYCCACACATGAACTAAGCTGGATAAATATTCACATTGACTTATGATTCTCGTAAAAATCCTAGGAGCTTAAGAAGGCGAGAGTTGTTTGAAAAGTAGTTGTGCAACTGTGCTTTCTTTGGAGAGGTTTTGGCGAGGGACAAAAGATAAAGTCAAGAATTAAGAAGTTCTATAGAAGACAGATGGCAACACTGCAGGTGTCGAGTTGTTATGCACTGGACCGTAAACCYGTCACTGATTGGCTCGTCATTGTACTCAGTTAACGTAAAAACGTGTGGTTTATAGACTATGTACAAACATACCCATGATGCATCACTCGTCAACACAGCTGCACGTCAAAGTCATCTTCCTGTGATGTTGTTGTTGTTTTAGTAAAAACACCCTGTAAATCAGGCAAAATTGCTATCAACATACAGACATCCCAACCGACAACTAGCCATGCAATTTTAGGGATTAACTTCGCGCATTCAATACAACAAGATCTAATAACTTTAGCTTAGAGAGCGTCGCGCRGGCTGAGGTTTTACGCGCACTCAAGCCTGTCTTCAACGCGAGTTGTGCATTTGCATAAACACCAGGTTACGTAGGCGTTTATTGTCTCGCACTTTGAATGAATGGTTTGTGTAAGCGAGTAGATTTCTCATTTCCAGCGTACGCCGGCTCCAGTACGTTGCGGGATAAGCCGTATAGGCCCTGAATAACATACTTTACTCAACACAAAGCTAGTACTCATTTAAAGGTAATAGCTGCAGTCACTTAAACTGCTCTTGCGACATTTGGCGCTGTTGATATTTGATTTACGTATTACTAGACACGAATAAACGTGTGTAAGCGTTCCACTGATCAACTCTTCCTCTTCCACAGAATGACGCTCGCCGCTCAGCATTTTCTCATGGATACATTTGGGTCAGACTTTGATTCGCTGCCCTCTTCTTTATTCAAGGATTTTGCTGGCGATGTTAACTGTAAAGACAAATCTCTAACAAATAGTCATGAGGAGAAATTAGTAGGCTATTCATTTCCACCTACACCGCCAATTTCTCCAGGATGTTCACCGCATGCGTCGGAAACTGGCGACTTGGAGCGATTACATCCGTTCTGTGATGAGTTCGCAGATGAACTGACTTTTGCTGACGACAAGTCTTTGTATTTTCAAGAAGATGATTTGAAAGAAATTCTTATAAAAGATTGTATGTGGAATGGAGCTGAATTTGAAGTGGCAGAAAAAGAGAAGTCAGTGATTTCTAAGCCAAGACTTAACCAAAGTCGCTTTGAAAAGATACGATTACTAAGTCAGACTCCGCCAATCAATGAGTATACTGCCCGAGTATTGAGCGTTGACCCAGCAGAAATCTTCCCATTTCCCATCAGCTCCGAGACGGTCAACAATGATCTTGATGTCAGTGATTCGGGTGAGTTCTTAATTTAGTAATAATATGATAAAATGTCTGGATCTACTACTGTGTCTGATCTCATCTATTTGATACTGTGTCTAATTTGAAAGGATTTTGGAGAATACCACTATTGAGTATAACCATCCAAGTGTGCTATTCTAAAAACGCGACAGTAATTTCTACAGTTATTGAGATATGAGTGTAAATTACATCCAAGTGAATTAGTTCCTGCTCCAATGAGTAATAATTCATAACATTCACTAAATAACCATCTCTTGATTTAATGTCTTTCTGTTTTCTCATTAGAAGAAGAGGAAGTTGAAGTCGACGTTGTGACCATCGAAAATAGCAAAAGTGAAAGTGTCGAATCCAAGCAAACCGTGGTGAAACACACTCAAGAATCAAGTTTCGAAACAGCAATYCCCAGTCCTACTCCTTCGGACTCATCCACGTTTGATGATTTTGAAGATGAAAAAAACGACCTGGCTGGAAAAATCCGTCCAAGGCGATCTCGTAAATGTAATGCTGTGGAGATTCCCTTTTACAAGCAAGCGCGRAAAATAACAAAGATTAACAGCTCGGGATCTGGCGACGAGTCTGAAAATGACAGTGAATATACACGAGCTACACATAATGTATTGGAAAGAAAAAGAAGAAATGACCTTAAGCTAAAATTTCAACGACTTCGCGACGCCGTGCCTGAGCTAAAAGATAACGAACGAGCGCCTAAAGTGTCAATACTTAGAAAGTCCTGGGAACACATTAATCACTTAAAGAAAGAAGAGACTCGACTGGCAACAGAACTTGAAAGACAGAAAAAACTAAACTCACAATTACTAAAAAAACTGTTGACTTTAAATCAAACCGGTCAACAGTAATAAAGGACAATAGGGCAAAAAATTGAACATTAAATGTTTAGGGTTTTTTGATTGATAGTAAATAGAGGTTGCTCATTATACTGCCCAGCAATAAAGTATATATATTTATCAAGCGAGATTTGCCGATTATGGCTTTCTCATGACTAGAATGGCAATAGAACGAGTGTTGACGGTAGAGATAAATCCAAGCTTAATAATATTGTACATAACAATTTTGCACCTAATGTCGTACACGATATTTAGATACGAATATAGAGAATCACGATTTTATTATTAGAATACACAATTAATATTACAGGTTAATACTTTGCTGAAAAAATTCAATTTTTATATATGCACTTTTTGCTATGAAATATCAATAAAATAAGCACAAAATCCACATGATGGTTTACTGATACAGTTTTATGAGTAGTTCTTAAAGATAGCGGTTTTGAGAAGGGTTTTTAGGTGTGACCTATTGTTGGTTGTCGATTCAATGTACATCCAACACTTAAATAAAATCGAAACTTGGTCCTTTCAGTATATTCCGTCATTGTTATACAAAGCCCAATGAATTAAACATTGTACGTCTGTCTGATTCTCAAATTAAGTGACAGTTTGGCTATTCCCGTATTTAAATAGGTCAAACACTCAAAAAGTTTACCTCCCAATTGTACTTTGCTAGGATTTGTGGAACTTTTTGAAGGATTGATTTGTGCAAAAAGCATAAAACATATCCTGGAAAAACCGAAATTCGAATTCTGATATTTCGCATAAAAAGTATCATATGTTATGTACTTTACACTAATGTACTTTCCACTAAACTAGCAATAATGGTTAAAAAATACAAGCTTAAAAACCTAAGTTTAAAGAAGTTGCGATTGAAATTCCACAAAGTTACCGCTTTACATTGGAAACTAACTTTGTTTGCCAAAGTAATCCTGGAATGAATAGTGAAAAAAAGCCATTTTGTTTAAACCAAGTTCTATTAGATTAATTATTGCAGTTTCAGTTTGGCTCCATATGGGGTTAATAAATTAACTCTCCCGACAAAACCTCTAACGATTTTGTTGGCTGGTTTGATAGAATTAGCAAACGACTTCTTAACAGTCGTGGAAAAAGTTGCGCTGAATATAAATAAAGATTGTTATAAAATCTTATAAAGCAAAAACTTATATAACAGAAACTAAATATCATTTACTAATAGTTTTTTTCCTCATGTTGCGTGATGATAAGTGAATTTGGATTGCGTTTTCATATAACACTCCCCGAGGGTCCGTAGCGAATGGTTTCTTGACGGCTTGAGTAACTTCCGATGGCTGGTCAACTATAGTTAACAAATCACAGTTAGTTGGTTTGTGATGCGTGAGTTAGGGTTTAACCGCACTGCAAATGAGAAGATACTTATTTTTGTACAAAGTAAGCTTGAAATAGATATGCAAACAATTCATTGCAAAAAGTGATATTTGCAGACAGAAGCCAAAATKGTGTAGCAAGTTTTATGGGCCRAAAAACTACAATTAGTTAACATGTACACATAGAGTTGACGGGCCCACGCGTTAACACGCGTCCCAATTTGAAATAACTTCCGGTTGGATGATTCACATTGTTTGCTGTGGCGAGTAGTTTTCTATTCTAATGCAAATTATGTCGAATAAGGCTGAGGCAGGTGGCTACTCAATAGCATAAAAATAGAGCCATTGTTCRGTGCAGCTGGCCCAAGCAAATTTCACCGCTCATTATACAAATGACCCTAATGCCAAGCAGATTAGCCTATCTCTTTTGATAGCATWTTCTGTCAATTTGTTCATTTCACTAATAAGGAATCTTYATTGCTTAAAAAGCTTTGCACCAGAAAGCTATGTTGCTCTAAATACATCCGTCTTCGATGACAAAAAAATACGTCATCGTCGATTTTTTTTGTCGTTTTCGTTGTGTGAGTAATGCATTTTTAACGAATTTATAAAGAACTTGACTATCTGTWGCAAATTTGAGATTTGATCAGTAAAAACAATTCAGTGGTTTTAGACTTTATTTCAGCAAAAGTAATGAGTTTCTTCGAAATTTGAATTTTCAAGGACACTGTTGAGATAATTCAGCAAAAAAATATTTCAAGAATGATTAAAAGAGGAAAAYGTATCTTTTTTACGAAGTATTTTTGTCAATATCATTTGTAAGTTGAGCTGATAAGATAGACTTTGATGGTATAAGTGGCTACTTTCATGGACAACTTTCAACCATTATGATTAAAATCACCTATGTAAAGACATGCAATTAATGCTCAATTGAAATTTTCTTTCAAAAGAAAATATTTCATAACAACCAAGAATGAAGGYAAGATAAAAGGCCACTTTGCAATTATCTCCAGCACCCGCAGTTAGAACACATTATCACTTATTCATTTTAAGGCCTTCAGTTTTCTTTTTTATTATTTGAAACTTAAATATATGTGTAAAAAAGCTGTGAAAAATTTATTTTTGACACGTCCAACTTTTAGATCCTCGATATCCTTGTTTTTTTTTCAAACAATAWAATGTTTCTTATATCAAAAAGCGCCTCGACTAAAATCGGCGTCAAATTCCTGACATGTTACGCAATTTTCAAGTTGAGCAACTTCAAGTCCAGCTGGCAATGAAGTGGCTGCCTTCAACACTACACAAACTGTCATTTCCCCAAGGGAGTTGATTTCCAAGGGCTCGGTAAACATTTGCAAAAGCGTCAATAATAGAATCTGCATCATAAAGCCTTGGATTAGATGGCGTTACCCCTGTCAGTGACCGACTTCTTTCTGCGCGTGCCGAGATMGAGCGGACAATGGAAAGGATCTTAAAGTCCAAAGATTACGCAGCCGGGAGATTAACTCTATTGCTGTTAATATACTAAGTGTTGAATGCGATGGCTAATTGGGGACTAAGAAGGGTGCAAACTTTGTTTTAAAGGCTTAATTGGGTTTAAATATACTCAGTTGAAGGAATCTGAGTTGCGTTGAACGTTTTTAATCGAATGAGGATAACGGTGGGGTGCATTTGCATGTCCATTTGCTGAAATAYCGACACACGAACACACTTCACGAAAACACCATAAAACTGTGAATTTTGTGCGAAAACAACACTGCATCTGATACCTTTTTAGATTAGATAAAACTTACAGGCAATGCAAATATTCAGTGTTGGAAGTTACGCGTGCCAATGAGCTCGACTAGGTCAGTGTCATTCAACTGGCCACGCGACCTACTCTTAAAATGTACGTCAACGAATTAAATAAAAATTCTACTGAATGAGCCAACAATATAAGCAAGGCTGTTTATTCTGATAAAGCCGATTTGTAGGAGTGTAAAGTTAGCTGTATTGGGCAAGCTTCTTTGCATCGGTATGCTATTGATACAATAGTATGATTGAACAGAACAAAAGACTTATTTTATGGCGCACGAATGATTAATAATCTATTGATTTTAGGGCGTCAGAACACCCCACGAGAGCGCCTTGCCTWACTTAAATCCTGGCTATTTTTCATTACTGCCTTCAATCGAAAGCAAAAGGATTTAATGTTATAAGCAGTGTGTAAAGTGCGTGGATGTTCCGTGAGCTTACACTGAATTATTTCACTTTCATCTAGTAAGGTGTGGCTTGGATTGGCGATAATTTATTCATTGTCGGTGCACAGCATATTTTAATCAAGGTCCTCTGAGATCGCAGGGCATTTGTTAGTATGTGCTGATGTGCACCGAGGCCACAAAGTATTCCAGGATCGTTGTAAGACMAGTGTCATCATGATTACTAGCGCATCAGTGTAAGTACATTTACATCACGATAAATGCTTTTTTTGTTCATTATTAAACATTCKGAAAGACGTCTTGAGATGTCACTAACCACCAGATAGTAAATGCAACAAGTAGTGGTCGATTTTATGGAATGTATCTGATTAGACTTTTCCAGTGCTCTTTTGCTATCTATCAGGCAAGTTTTARAAATACTTCTTCGGGATTTTTTTYAGCGTGGAAATTGTATATTTGCGCAAATAGTGCAGCTCAGSTATTTTTTAGCGGGAAGATAGTGACTGGTATTGATAGTGTAAAGACAGCTGTAAAGTGACCCGTAACGCATTCCCAATAGACAGCTGAGATGTGAAAGTTAAGAATTCCAGCGCAGATATAACACAAAGATCACTGCGAACATTTCACGCGCGATGTTTCGCTTTACTGCTATGTTATTCTCGGAAGTGAAAGTGTTTGGGCAAACGAAAGTCCTTTTTGTTTCCATGGGAAAAACAGGTATTATGAAATACAGGAAAATACCTATACGTTACACACAATGTCATTTGCTGGTGTTTAAGTTCTTTGCTGGTTTTCTGTTGTTCGTTGTTTTTTCTTATTGATGAATATTCAACGAGCTTAATAACTCAAACCTTAGCCTCAGTGACTCCGTGTTTTCAAACGCGAAAACAACAATTGTTGATTTTGRGGTTCACTGATTTGCCTTGTTGACTGTAACTGGCCAAGTATCTGCGTGCTGCTATGTGAATATGAGGTATTTTAGATGTCCATTCATGAGTTTTTTTAGCCGTCTCACCACGCAATAATTAGTATTCAGAGATATGCAAATCAAGCATTGTGTTCTGATCTGCCATTCAGTCAGAGCCCCATTCATCGAGCCAGTGTTCAACTTACAACTTCATCAAGATCAGAGTAGCGCGTAAATCTTACTCACGGCTTTTTGCGCAACCTTGGTTCGCTTGTAAATCTTTTCATTCATTGTGTAGAATATAGTGTTTGTATAGGTTCAAGTTGTGGATCGGGTGTTTTTTTGTAAGTGTACATTTACTAGAAATCGTAAGATTGATGTTATGCTCTGTTACTGACGAGTGGTTCCTCCTTCCTTGTAGGTTGTGTTGTAATATGTTTTTTGATCATAACAACGTACAGAGGGGACCCACTGTCTTAGAGTCGCGTCAAGAACTCATGTCAGAAAGTCTTACCGAGGACATCTACGCTCCTTCACTACAGAATGATGAAATGTGGAAGAAATGTGCGATCCCGACTCCACCGTACTCACCCGAGACTTACACTGGTCAGACGAACAAGACCCACATGTTTAACCATCATCATCAAAACCTACAAGTAGTTCCTGACGACTTTCCAGAAGATCTCTCGTCTGATCTCCCAATGGTMCTCTCAGATGCTGAAATGGAAAGACTAACATCYAGCGCTTTAGGTAACAACGACTTTGTCTGGTCCGAACCTGATCTCACAGAGCCAAATTCTATTCCTGCAATGCGGCCTTCTATTATTGACAACGTAAGGGAATCACCGATTTACGCACAAAAACACTACCGCGATTTTCATCCTTATCCACAACAGCTTCCCATTCAAGAAAACTGCATGAACCAACAACATTCTCCACAAAATTGGTCTCCCTACTCAGGTAACATGACGTTTGCGTTAAAAACGTTTTTGTGGTAGTCTGAATAGAGTTTKGAAAGTGAAGACAGATTCAGAGAAATTTCAGCAAACAACGCGGTCTTGCCCTTGTTTTGGTGTTTATTTATTCACTTTTCCCTCTCTGATTATAAACTTCTTTTTTATTTGATCTTTACAATATAAACATTTTGTGATTACAAGGTCTAAATTCCTTAAGCCATATCCATTTTTATTTCAGATACTGTGTCGGTCTTTCCTTTTTGATAAACTTTGATTAGAGCATGCAACAAGTTGCTATCTATAACCTTCGTATTCAATGGCTCTCTTAATTGAACGTTTATGTAAAGCTATATATTTCAAGGAATTAATAGATTCGATTTGTGTATTGTTTTAASTATGAATTAATGCCAGACGAAAACAGGCGTTTACGATCATCGATAGTAAAAAAATTCTTAGTTCATCTCTGAAATGTTGAATACAAAGCTGATAATTTATTGTTGTGAAATGAAACTTTGTTCTGTTATAAAATCCTCAGAATTGAGTAAGGTCGCTGGAGTCTCGCATGATCTAAGATCACCATCAAGCAGTAGACATTATAAACTAATTGGCAAAAGAGAAAAAAGAATTTTCGTAAATTGCAGACAAACCAATTCAATTGTAGATTAAAATGTCGCTCTTCTTGCTTTGTTACAACAACAATAATAATCTTGCTGGTTGGTATTTTGTGTGTTATTGAAAATTTACTCCTTGAAAAACTGCCAAAAAAACTATTTGAACTAAGAAAGAAGAGTCAAGCACATTGGAAAAGTTGATTACCTTTTCAAAATTAGTTCTTGTTAAATAAATCAAAGTCTAAAAATTTAAGACATCAAATGAAATGTTGATATTTGTTTTTATTGTTGTTTATTCATAACTATTTTCTCTGTTTTTTTTTTCTAGTAGAGGGCAATCCTTCCCAAGGCATTTCATGCATCAGGCCACCCCTCCAGCAAGACGAGTTTGCACCGCCGAGATATGACAGCGTCAACACCAGTTGCAAAAGAACCAGAAAACCGAGACGCGGCAGTCGAAATTCTCCACAACGTCAAGAAACACCCGAAAACGAGGACTCTGAGGACAGTGAAATAAGCCGAGCAACGCACAACGTACTCGAAAGACAACGGCGCGAAGATCTCAAATGCCGTTTTCAGCTTTTAAGGGACTGTATTCCTGAATTAGAAGAAAATGAGCGAGCTCCAAAGGTAGCTATACTCAAAAAATCACGCGAGTACGTTCATCAGTTGATTTTAGAGGAACAGAGACTGTGCGCCGATAAAGAACTTGAGCGTCAACGAAGACTGATTCTATTAGAACGTCTACATATGCTGCGGAATGGATATCCGATGATATAACTATGATATTGTATAAATCTCCCTCTACAGAATTCCAAGAGTTCACATGTATAGAATCCCCCCTACTGCAACAGTCTAGAGACATGACGTTTTACATTTATTTCTTAGTGAAATTAATTTTGAATTCAATCACAATGCAAATATCTCCCCTATTGTCTACAGCATTTCTATAGAAAACAAGACCTCCAAATTCTTCAATTTACGGACATCCWAAGGCAAAGTACAAAGTGATTCGCTCTAAGGAAGCCTTATTCAGTTTCAGTGTGTCTTTTTTCCGATTTTATTGCCAAACTCGTTCCTTGTCATTTTTGTCAAAACTCAGGGTGTGACAGGCGTTATCTGTCTTTTATTCAGAATTTTCTCTTTTGCTTTGCTTCTTCTCGTTGTTTAAGGTTTGTTTCTTAGCGCAGTTTGAGTTTACAGATCGTTTGCTTTAGTTCAAAGTAGTTTATTTTCCATTTTGTTGTGGAGCTTGACGCCGTCAAGTTCTTTTGTGTGAATGCGGGTGATTACTGTTCTACCAGGTGCTGTTAACTAAATTGATGCATGTTGTTGTCTAATTATTCAAACTTCTCAATCAAAAATACACTTAAAACTAATACATTCAGCCATATCAACAAGCTCTGTCATATCCCGGTTTTAAGAATCTGCAAAAAGCACAARCSTTTGAAAGGCAACGCCTTTTGAAGTGAAAAAGCTTTGTATTTTGACTTTGCCAAWCGACTATTCAAATGAGACGAGACACACAGTTCAATCAAAGGGTTTGGTCTGTACTTCCGATTTTAACCGAGTTGTGTTTAATTCAGACCCACCTTCGACTGTCAGTATTTGTAAATCAATCGAATATATGACACTTTTTACGAGTCATGAAGGAATCATTTTTTTTAATTTGGAATATCTTTTCTTTGTTAATATAATAATTCATTTATTTGAAGCTTAGTTTCAAGTCAATTTGAAATTACTTATATTTTTATGGTGAATTATTGGYTATCTCAGGAGATGCCATCAATTTAAACATATGAACAAAACTTGTCTGGAAAACTAGTTCATTATTTCAATGGCCATCAAAGCCTATTCGTATAGTTTACGAACAAATTCATGTTGTATATGTATATATTATATATATTAAGATCAGACAGACCTAAAATGTATAATTGCAGTACCCAAAGTAGTTTAGTAAAATATTAATAGCTAAATCATCCAAAAATGTTATAATAAAAGATCAAGATATTTGTATAATTTGTCTTTGGATGTTGTTAATGAGCAGGTTCTTGTGTAGTTTGCTACCCGGGTGACTATTCACCTTACAGCTTTAATGAGTGAATGACCAAGCAAAGGCCGTCTAATTGTACTGTTAGTCTACTTGACAGCTTGCAGGATATTCATCTTTCAATCTGTCGCAATGAAGATTTTTTAGACTCTAATTATGTTACGAAGATGATTCGTCGAAATTCTTCCAAAGTCGTGGATTCTTAAAAGTGTCTTTTTATGTCGTCGTAACATAGACAGGCGCGCTCAAGAAATAAACAGAAATTAACGGTCCGTGGCGCAGAAAGCTGGAAACCGCACCCTACGTGAAACTCAACCGAAGCTATACAGTCTTACAACTTGATATGAAAGGATCTGCCATTATTAACAAAATTAGATCAGACGAAGAAAATCATCGTTATCTTTTTATCAGTCTTAAAGAAAAGCTAATATCTTTTCGCCAATTAAAGATGCAGTTGATAATATTTCTTATTGGTATCACACAAGAACTAGAATGTTAATTTAATAAGACGTACATATCTAAAGTGAGAACGGCTTTCACGTAATGAATTAATGCTAGCGTACAGCAATAAGATAAACGACTTGAGCACGAAACATTTGGAAGGATGGATCAATTCACTGGCTGAGCTGGTGTAAAAACAAGTGTCGTTTCACCAAGTCTAATCTACATGATCTGTCTGTAGCACACGTCAGGACTAAACACGTTGCCTTAACAACAGTAACAGCATCACACGATTCATTTGGGAGCCGTTTAATGCATAAATGAAATAGAATTAAAGAGCCATTATGCTTTTATAAACATTAAAATTCATTAAAATGTATTAGTGTTGGAATATCAAGGTTGTGCAAAATGCAGATAACACTCAATATTTACAAGAATTAATATTGTCAGCCTTTCATTTTAAACACTATTTAAACAAAGTGGTTTTGTAGCTTTTGTACCTAATTACGACTAATTCTTTGACAGATTGAAAAGCACTATCCTGAAAGTTAAGATGATGTTAAGAAGAAGACGTAGTATCAGTAGCTCTGTATAAGAACCTGCAGTGTAGCAGAAGTACTAGTAGAAGTTGAAATAAAAGTAAAAGACTTGCAGTTGTTAGTAATAGTAGAAGTAGTAGCTGCACCATTAGCAGCAAGTAATCACGAGTAGCAGTAGCAACAGGTTGAGAAGCAGCAGTAGAACTATCAGCTGTAGCAGATCAGTAGCAGCAAGCACATAGTTATAACATTATAGCGCAGCAACAGTTTAAACCTTCAACAGTTGTATTCGATGTGTTCAATATGCTCTGGAAAGCGCAGGTATATTCCCACATTGTTGAGAACTAAAAAAAAACAATAACAACAACAGCATCAGCAGCAAACGAGAAATCGATTCAATTTGTATTTTTTACTCTTGTGTGACATAACCTCTTTCATACAGTCTATCAAAAAAATCCTTTAAGCCCGAATCTTGTATCCTTTAAACCCACTAAATAGAGGCTAAATCCTAGCGAAGAATACATATGATTCTTCAGATACTTGATCTTTTTCCTCTATTTACTTTCGACCTTAGAATAAGATCTTCTTATAAAAATACAAATAACAATGATGTACTAGCTGCTCTTTTATAGAACTATATTCGAATGATAATTTTACCAAAGAAACTTCATATCAGTGATTAATTTGGACAGTAATATGGCAGCTGAGTACACTTTATGTAGTTTGATAGTATATACCACGTTTAGTGTGGGAGTATACACCAAAATATGACGTAACTCTACGTTCTTCTCGGTGCCATTTTCTGAAAGGATTCTATATAAACAACATCATCAAACGTAGTTTAAGAGAAATTACTATTTCCTTTGAATATATAGTTTGGAGATTCGTTCATGACTGTCGATGAAATGATGATATCAATGTTTGACTAGCTGCTGATATTCATACAAATGAGATATCAGTGCATCTAGAAGCTTCTACTACTGATTGATTTGGTTAATGTACGAACCTTTCAGTTTCCGATGTTAGAAAACTACCGAATGGATTGAACCGGATCTCAGTCGTAAGGTCTGAAAACATTCATTAAAGATCAGAAAATAGCTGCAACTTTGCTGATCGTTATCAATCCGCTGAACAAATAGCAATCTATTGGACGTTTACAACTTTTTCTAAGAAAATCACTTTTGTACACAATTTTACTGATTAAGTGCATATTAATGATCGACAGCTGACGTCATTATATCACAGCGCCAGTAAATTATGGGATATAAATGCGGTAGTGAGTGCATTCCATATCAAAATGACATTTAACGGTAGATCATGAATATTATATATATCTATTCATTCCAAGTGTTTTAAACTTGCCATTCAATTTCCAAAACGCACTTACAATTATATCGAGTAAACGAGGCTGATGTGAACTGATTCGCTTTTAACCATGGTTATATAGCCCCGGTTTTTGGATAGGTACGTGCCGCCAGCGGTCTAAAAACCTGATCCTGTTTAAGACTAGAAAGTGAAAATCCATACCATTTTTGACTTAGTCTTATTAGTATTTATTTATCTATTTATTGTATCTACATAAACATATTTATTGTCAATTTATTTATTAAGTATCTATACAGACTGCCTCGATTAGTTAAACTATTTGCAGTCTGTACATGTAATTTACATTTTTAATTTAAATTATTGAATAAAATTGAATTGAATTTTCAAGACAAATCGGAAAAATACGGAATCGCTATCTACAACGCAACCATCAAAACTGAAATTAAACCGACATCCATCAAAGAAAATAAGAAGTTTTTGATAACACGTTATCCTGCTACATTGGCTAAATAGGCTACTGATCACTAATTAATGTATATTCGGTTATAGGCGTATTTGTCACTCTCTAGGATTTATTCTACTTCTCACTTAGGAGACTCAGGAGGTAAATTGTAAGTGGTTTCACATGAGTCTGAGATCTGCAAAATTATGTTATCAAAATTTTCTTTTCTTTTTTCTTTTGTATTCTTTCAGCAATCCACATTTAATGCTTAATGATGCCATCAAGCAATCAAATGTTGGTTTAACTCTAAATCATAAAACGATAAACATCTACATAGCCTACATCGGATGTGGTCTAGAGGCAATTTAGCCATTATCAAATAGTGTAAGGTTACATGGTGAATTATGCATGCATCAATACCAATATCTGTCTTTTTGTATGGAAGATGAGCTTTACCTTCGAATTGATATTCAATAATGTGTGAGACAAAAAATATAAAAATGACAAATGGATAATGACAAATGGATGATCGAATAGCGTGAAACAAACTTTGACTATCAAAGTGTGATAGTCAAATAGACACAAAAGGAAACAATGCAATTAGAGCGTACTAAGGTATATTAGACAATGTGATATCTATTTCACTTTTTTTTTACTTCACTCTAAAACGGACTGGTCAAAAATTCTCTCACATGAGAGGGGAAACTGCTCTTTTCGAAGCTAATCACTTGTTCTGTAGCGATTCGCGCTCATTACGTTTCTAATAGAATAAATTAATCTGTTTTAAACGCATTCAATTCGTGTGACAGCGGATTTATATGCATAGGTTATTTGCAGCGTTTGTTATGTCTCGGAACAGCTATTCATTCAACAAAGTGTATCCAGACTCTCTTTGGCTTGCTTCCTAACGAACACTCCTTTTTAAACAGTGTTCATATTCAACCTTTATGCATCTTTTCTGCATGTTTTCCTATTTCYCTTCATCCCAATATTCTATTCATTTTGGACCAAAATATATGATTTACCTTTTTTTCTCATTAAAATGCTAAGTTGAAGCCAGGATTCATTAATTTTTACTCGTATGCCTACGGCTCTCGGTCTGGAATCAGAMTTTCCATCAGTTCATCAGAGGCAAAATCGTTTTTCATTTATTGCGCATGTTATCATGTTTTTTTAATACTTTATTTTTATTGAGTAGTCGAAGTGAATTGGTTTTGACCGCCATGTTTCTGGGTAGTCTCGCAAAATAACAAGGATACAGTGTGTAATGGATGTCAAATAACTCCAATTGAATTCCAACTCAGAAAGAATCATTCATTGCAAACGTTAGAAACCACAAAAGGAGTTAACTGGCCAGTTTTGAAGGCCTTAGTTGACCTAGGGAGCGAGCAAACTCATTTTTAGTCTCTTTTAGTTCACTATAAATTTCTTAACATTATTATTTGACATAGATTTTACACTGTACCCWTGTTATTTTGCGAGACTTTGCCTTCCCGGAAACAAGGYGGTCAAAACCGTTACTTGATCTATTAAAATCTGCTCAAGATTATTTTGTATTGAAGAATATTTCCCACAGTGGTCTACCRAGTCAACCTGTTTTGATTCAGATCCACTATGCGTAGTGACTTTGAAGGTGGCAACACGGCAGCAAATCTTCATGGCTCACTGATGAAACAGTTTATTTGCTACCACCTGCCGGAAGTAATAATCTCCACGGAAGTGACGTARCCGGAAATAGCGTCAATYTGTTTTTGGCATTTCGTGAGGTCTATTTCCTATTCATTTTGCTTTTTCTTTTTAGTTTCTTTTAATGTTGATTTCATAATCAAAAATTAATACTAACTACGCAATAATAGAAGATCATAACTGCTGTCAGGAAAATTCTGATGGGCCAAAGTATGGTCGTGATTTGTCAGAATTACCGTTTCCGGTATCAGAGATCTTGGAGAACCACTTACATTGTAGCAAAGGCCCCCTTGACTACTGTTTTTAAACTAATAAGAAAAAAGAAAAAACTGAGGTCAACTGCCTCCGGTACAGACAGACCCCTTGCATTTGGCGYCTGAGCCCGCGCATCTTTTACTCTTTGAAAAATTCAATGGTGTGTCGTTGGCAAGGTGCAGTGGACTTAAACTGCTTAATAAGGAAGCATAAAAGATAGATTGCAATCGATGACGAGGTTTTTCGAATCTCCTCGCCAAATGAGACAAATGGGAACATC